CCAAATTATATAATATGTTGGTAGAGGGTTCCCCTGAATCTTCTTTAGGAAAACTTAATGCCTGGAGGGAAGATTTACAGGAGGACTTATCCTCCGAAGACTGGGAGGAGGCATGTGCTGAAGCACAAACACAAACTACCAATACTCGTCTCAAAGTATTGCAATATAATTGGCTAATGAGGACGTATGTGACTCCAGAAAAGCTTAATAAGTATAATGGTGATATCCCAGATTTGTGTTTCAGGTGTGGAGAGGAGAAAGGGACGTTTTTCCACTGTGTCTGGGAATGCAATAAAGTACAACGGTTTTGGAAAGAGATTAAACAAGCTCTGGATATTATATTGGGTACACAACTAGCTCTTGACCCTAAACTTTTTATTTTAGGGTTATATCCTGATGGACATCTTATGTCTAGAAAGGTAATTACCGCCCTGGACTTATGTCTACTGCTGGCAAAAAGAGTCATAGCACTCTCATGGAGGAAGACCAGTAAACCAAAATACATTAACTGGATTAAGGAATTGTCCACAACTTTACCTATGGAAAAAATTACTTACATTATCAAGGGGAAACTACCACTTTTTCAAAACATCTGGGGTCCCTTTATGCAATATATGGGAAATATGGATCTTGGCAGTATGGTGGATGGGGCAGATGGGGTGTAAATGTTGGTGGTCCTCTGCAGTTTCCTAAATTAATCTCTTTTATACTTGATCTTTAATGCTGTGTGAACTGTACATTTGAGTTTGTAACTTTGAACCATGCACAATAGTGTAACCGAGTTGATGTTGAGCAACCCTTGGAAATAGAGAAGCTTATTTTATATGTATATGTATGTATGTATATGTGTATGTGTATATATACATACATATATATATGTGTATATATATATATATATATATATATATATATATATATATATATATATGTATATATATATATATATATATGTGTGTATATATATATATATATATATATATGTATATATATATATATATATATATATATATATATATATATATATATATATATATATATATATATATATAAAATTTTATTTTTTTTTGGGGGGGGGGGGGGTTGTGTTTTCCTTTTCCTTTGTTTGACTAAGTTATTATTTACAGGTGATATAGTTTGTACTTCCACTTAACTGTTGCTCTCTAACATCTTATAAGTGTCTGATTTGCAAGGGAGGGCGATTGACTGTTATACAATAATTTAGCTGCCCTGGATGTTTCCTTTGCTGTGGAAGTACTCCAATTTCTGTATGTAATTTTGAAACGCAATAAAGATATTGTTGGAAAAAAAAAAAGACAAAAACATATCACAAAGTCTCTTATAAAGATAAACAAACATTTTCTGACATGGCCGGCATGACTTCATACCTGTCAGCCTCTGTTTCCATTCTCAGTACCAACAGTTTACATGGGCAGAAGTATTTTAGAAAGCCTCTTGTCTCTCTTTGTCCATATTTCCTCCTGTCATCATCTCTCCATAATTTAGCGACCAGATGCACAGCTGCTTGGCAATAATCCGAAAAGAACATTTTGTCTCTAAACAAAAAAAGGGGTGAAAGCAAAACTGCAGCAGCAAAAGGCTGTATAGTTCACCAGCCAAGCATACAATCATGTCTTCATTGTGTCTATTAGTTTTGCTTTACCAACTTCACTTCAAGCCTAATGTTGTGCAATTAATCAATTTAAATCAGCTGCAGACAAGCCTATTAAGAAGTGATGGGAGAAAAGGAGGGGAAAAAAAAAATCTTCTCTGGAAAGATAAGCGGTAAAGAGTGAACGACCGTTCTGAGAGTACAGAGATGTAGCACATGGGGACAAAGTGGTAACTAGAACTGACAGGACTGGTGAATGAGGCGGGGAGAATTAATGAGGATTTGAACTTCAAACTACAGCAAAAGTTACCGGAAATGTCAAGTGAGGAGATTTTTTTTAATTAACTTACGCTGTGCTTCCAAGTTTTAACTCACAGAAATCATAAAACTGTTTAAACGTAGCATTAGTACAGTACACACTTTCAGGGATGAACCGGGCAACACTGCGTGGAATATCAACGGTTTACAGTTTAGTCTTTTCTCTAGCTTTTTTTTTTTTTGCAAATTGATGATTGCACAAACTGCTTCTGTCACCAGCCACGTTAATCAGTATTGATATATATGCAATAAAAAATGCCAACCATGCTGAACTTACAGTAAAGTGTGAGCACACTGCAGTCAGTGTCAGGCCTGCCAAGATGCCAGAAATATCTGCTGAACTCACTGCACCAGTGTCTCACCTGAGACTTTTACAATCTCTGAAGACAAAGGTCACAGAAAATATAGCACAGCTTTAAAAAAAAAAAAAAAAAGATTTATTTTTTTGCCTTTATTTTGACAGGATAGGAAAGTAGATGAGAAAAAAGTCAAGAGAGGGGGGGATAACACATAGGAAATGGCCTGAATTGGACTCAAACCCAGGCCTTGCAATGGACTTTCGGTGAAGTTTGGGTGAAATAAGGAGAAAAGACAACCAACAACTAGTCTGTATTAATTAAAAACTGGAAAACTTTCCAGTTAATCAGAATTCCAGGCTCAGGGGGGGAATTCAGATTTTAGGGGATAGTTGGAAGAAGCTGGTTTCATCGTGGTATGTTTGCTCATGTGAAGCCCAATCTCAGCTTATCCAATACAAGTTGCTTCACAGAAATTACTGGACTCCCAGTAAGCTAGTCAGGTTGAAGCTTGCTGACGATGGCACCTGTTGGAAATGCGAGGAGGAAGCCAGGACCCTAGTTCATATGTTGTATGCATGCCGGAAAAATGATTATTTGTGGGACAATTATATTGTAAATTATATTTGAGGCTTCACAGTATAAAGGGTGACAAATATAAAATGATATTATATAAAACATGCTTAATTTAAATGCCCATTTGGGGAGGTATTTGCCTGTGATGAGGGGTTTTTGACCACTGGAAAGGATTCCTGTGCAATTCTCAAATCCCAACACCTTGATGCTCAACATGGATGATTCTGTGCATCAGTCAAATATTATTACTTCACTCTTCTCTGCAACTGGCTGCTAGACCAGCAACCAAGCATCAGCACCAAGAAAGAGTAGCCCACAGATCAGTAATACCACATATTTTTACAATACCCTCATCTGACAGCACACACTCACTGCAGGTAGACGGGGAGTCCAAACCTGCCCACGCACTGCTAATACGTTACCACCGCTGAACCATAATTTCCTCATCATCCACCCTGCTGCATGTCTTTACGCCACTTTTAAACACGTATTTCTTCACTTTGATATAAATCGCATCAGCTTTTCATACGTCAAAGTAGACAGCGTGCTCTTTTCAATGTCCAGCTCACAATGAACACTCTGGCTCCTTCTTATAAAAGTCGCAATAACAATTGATGAGAAAACAAAACAAGCGGCTGAATTATCTGTTAGCTTCAACGTAGCTATAGCCTTATAGCCTTTATATACAGTGCTTTGTATCTGTGTCCATGCTGTTGTTTCTAACCAGAGGAATGCTACCCATCTACTTCTCTCAGTCTCTACTGCAGGAGAACACAAATCCCTGCAGTATATATGCTCAACTATTCACGAAGCATAATTTCAATCAGCTGCACAGTTATGCAAGATACTGTGGGTAAAAGAAATTAAATCTATAACTATTTACATGGAAGAAGCTGTAAGAAATAAATGTTTGATATTTCTGCCTTTACTGTAATATATATTGTACATATATTTATTACTCTCAGATTTAGCCATTCTTATATTTTGCTTGTTTTATGTTATTGTATTTTTTTTTTTGCACACCTCTGTTGCTTGTGAAGCTCGCACACAAGAATTTCACTCGCATGTACTGTACCAGTGTACCTGCACATGTGATGTGACAATAAAAGTGATTTGATTTGATTTATTTGCAATTACACAATTTCTAAATATTAAATTGCTAAATCTATGTGCTTGAAAATCAGTAAAATGTCAGACACTCACAAGATTCCCTGTTGTCTGATTTACTCAGCTCACAAAAAAGCTAAGAAATTATCAGGTTTTCTAAAAAATAAAATAAAATAAAAAAAATCCCCTTAACAGCAATAAAATGAAGGAAAAAAGAAATCTCTGAACACTCGTGTTTGTCTACTGCGATGTGATGCATTATACATCACTTGCTGTACTGTCCCGTCTCGTGTGCGCCATGGCGCTCTGTTGTTGTTAAGCTTGAATGAAGCTGTGACGAGCATTAATGTTAAAGTGACCCACATCCGAATGACAGACTTCTGCTACTTCAACAGAGCGTTACACTGCAGAGGGGCTTTAGTTTTTCAAAGTAAAACATTTCTGCTAATGGACACAAAAATACTAAAATTAAATATAATTACTAGATAACCAATCTGTAAAAGCCTTTGAAAACAGCCTCTTATGAGTCAGACTATAGAAAGTATTTCCTTAGGTGGAATACCAAATACCAAATCCTGTCTTTGGAAAACACTGCTCACTGCTGGCATTAATAAAAAAGCCATTACAGAAAATTAGTACAAAACTGTGCTGGATACCCTCAAGCAGTGGACAGACACAGCTGAATAATCTTTATAATGAAAAAGAGATGTTAAGGAGTGACCGTCTCCAGTAAAAACAGAGAAAAGAACTGCCGAGATTACAGTGGAAGAGGAGGAAGAGGAGGGTTCCTTCCCGCGATTCACTTGTGTCAGACAGAAACTGACACAAACACGCCATGATAGGTTAAGCTCTTGTTGGGTTCTTGTTTCTTTATGTAATTTATCAATTAATAAATAACATTTTCTGGAAAAATAAAACTATTCTTTAACTTAGTTCTTGTAACATATAATTAAAGCCAGTTTCTTTTAAGGGAAAAATTCAGAAAGAAAGTGTACTGAAGAAGGAAACTGCATTCAATAAATCTAAAAGGTGAAAACATATGCCCACTCATAAGTCAAAAGGCGTGTTGTTACTGCTACGACTTCTCCACCCACCTCTTTGACCTCCAGCAGCCGGCCTGGGTATTGACTCTTGGCTCGTCGAGCTGCAGCTGGAGATTTGTGGTGAGTGATCGTGACGATGTTGCTGGGTGTGGCGGGGTGACCCAGGTGCCTCGGAGATCCCGGGGATGAAGTTGGTGTTAGGTGGGGAAGGAGGGAGAAACTACGGGTCCGACCAGAGGAAGAGGAGCCCTGGAAGATGGGATTTAAAGATGACAGGAACATGATGATGTAAAGGAAAAAGTAAAGGAAAATAAAAAATCTATACATAATGATTAAAAAATAAATAAATAAGGGTTTAGTAAGATGTATTCACTATTACACATAAATGGAGAGTAGTTTTATGTTCATGAGCTTCATGCTAGTGTTAATGTTGTGCGTTTTATTATGATGTCACCTAGTGACACGGATCCGTCACTTCCAACTCATCACAACCAACGCCTTAAAACCTTTAAACTCACTGGGTAAGTCCTGGTAAATGAACTGTTACTTAAACCGTACTAATCTTACTGAGCACTACACGCCACTTTCATCCAGTGACACACAATCGTACAATGATTTGTGCTACAGTCATGTGGCAAAAAAAGTACAACCTCTTTCAATTTAAGATATTACATATCAGGACATAATGGAAGAAAAATGAACTGGTCCTAAACTGGTCTTGAAGTTAGGTAAATACAAGCTCATATGAACAATAACACATGACGTATTAAAGCATATTATTTATTTGTAAAATATAGTAGCAGGAGCAGTGTGTGAAGTACACCCTTACTGCTTTCTTAGGAACTAAGAGAGTAAGTAGCAGCCGGGCGCTGCTAATCAACTGCACTTAACTAACTGGTGAGACTCTACAGGCCGCAGTATGTTAAACGTTCATGGCAGAACTATTTGGAAAAACAGCAACCGTTTTCTCTCTAAAATGAGCATGACAGCAAAGCCAAAAAAGCCAAGACTCTCCTTAAGACAGATGAGACCAAAGTGGAGATATTTGCTCACATTTGCACAGCAAAAAACAAGCACAGCATACCACCTGTCAGGCAGTGGTTGGGGCCTGTTTTGCAGCCACAGGACCTGAACACCTTGCGGTCAAAGAGAAAACTTGGAAACATACCAAAGTATTTTACAGTCAAATATGAGGCCATCAGTCTGGCAGGTAAATCTGGCCTGAAAGTGGTCATAGCCCCTATTTACCAATATGTGAAAACACTAATTTACCATTGGATTTATGGGATATGTGCCAGCCTCCCGTTCTGTTCTAACCACCATGTGTACGTTAATAAATCAATTGCAAGGGAAAACCCTGCAGGAGAGAGTCCAACTGAAGAAAATGAAACAAATGTGTCCAAAGAGGAAGCCAGAAAACTTCCAGATTAAATGATGGCGGTTTGGACATCAATCAAAGTCAAGTGCTTAATCCAATCAACTGCGGTGGGACCTAAAGAGAGCTGTGCATAGACGGATGCCTGCAAACCTCAACGAACTTTCGTCCATAACAATGTGAGATACTGATAAAATCCAAAACAGCTTAAAGGTGGCTCTGCCAACAACTGAATCATGGAGTCATTGCATTTTGGATTAGTTTGTGTTAAATAAATGTTGACACAGTGTGATGTGTCATGCATCTTGTTGTTCCCCAGTAAAACTGTTACCTAAAAACATTTTTTCTCATACAAGCATGTGAATTGATAGGCGGTGGGTGCCTCAGCTGAGTTTTATCAAAAGATAGAATCAGCCTTTTTGTTGTTTTGTTTCCCTCTGCGGCAAAGCTTAAGTCACATCACATCTTTCATTTTGATGCCTCCTTTGCTTCCCCCTCTGTGACTCTTGTCTCCTCACTTCGCTGACCTCCATGCTCACACAGGCAGCGATGTCAGACCAGTATCTCTCTCTCCTGCCCCTGCTCTCCATTAGTATACTGCAGCAGAGAGCCAGCGCAGATTTATCCCCCAGAAGACCACAGAGGTCTGGTCACAGCAGCGGTGAAAATAAAATGGATCAAATAAACAACTTCCACCCCAGAGCACCACACAATGAGAGGGAAACAAATGGCCTTCCCGTTTTTGGTCAGAGATGCTGCTCACTCTGCAGTAACCAAGAGGATCAAACCCATCACGAACCTGCCGTTGTTACATACCACACAAATAATCAGGGGTCACTCCCTCTTCTTTTCAGATAATAAAACTGCTCACAAGTTAAGAATATTTTCCTTCTGATTAGATGCATCACCAAAGTCTAAGCAGAGGGAGGTACTGAAGGTCGGTACTTGTGAAGCAGTTCTAACAGAAGATAATCAGCTTACGGGAGAGTACATTGTTGTATTGTGCGCGGCTAAGCCACGAGCTATGAGTATGAGGAAAAGACAGTGTTTCGGGAGTGTGAACAGATAGACACGCTGAGGTTTTGTACTCCAAAAACTGGCACAGAGCCCCAAAGCACTTTAATAAACTGCAACAGAAAAAATAAGAAAGCTGTAAAGAAAAAGGAGGGCCAGAGCTGGAAGGAAGGAGGACAGACGTGTATTTACATAATTAGAGCTCTTTTAGTTAAGTGCATTCCTCTCTTACCATTTCACTTCTATCTAAAATTAACTGCTGAAATCGTTAAGTTAAATAAATAAATAACTCGGCAATTGCAAAGTTAATGTGATTATACTTTACTAACTTCACTTAAAGAGAAAAGCAGAGGTCTTACAGGTCTTACTGGGGGACAGGGCTCGTTCAAAGAAGGTGGCCTCGGTACACTTCCTGTTAGTCTAACCCTGCGGTACAGAAGTCCTATCTTTACAACAACACTTGCGTGGGCAAACCTGGCCCTCTGCGAGGCATCAGGAGTAGACAGGAAAGTCAGCACCACAGGGAAAGACACTTATTACAAACAACTTGCTATTCAGCAATAAACTTGGTTAGAGTGTCTGAAAATAGCTTAATACTGAGACACTAAAATGGAAAAAAAGTACTGGGCCACAGACACATTACACCTGCAGCTGTTAGGCCACCAAAACCGAAGCCATGAAGCTCCCAGCACACAGATTTGGTGCTGATGGTAATACCAGAGTTTTTAGTTCTCTCTGTGGTTAAATACTTGCTCATACAGTTTTCTCTCCACCTTTTTAGGGTTTTTACCCAACAATAAAGCACTATGAGGTGAAGGCTGCTGTAATTTGGCCTTATATAAGTGAAACTGAATTAAAATGAAATTGCAGTCATTGAGCTAACAGAGAGTTGGTGCCCTTTACACACTGGAAAACAACGCTCTTTAACTGCTGTGGTTCTTAATGCTTTCATTTGCAACAATATAACTTACTATACACCAGAGAGTATGTAGGAGTGAAGAAACTTCTGACTGACTTGTTAACAGATATGGCCCATTACTTTGACGAGGTGGGTGTCCACTATGAAAAACTTTCAAGTGTGAATTGATCAAAGTCTATTCAAAGGCTTAATCGAGCAGAAACAGCTGTATCAGTCTAACTCACAGGGCATATGTTGCCTTCTTGTGCCCTCAGGAGGGGTGTTTGCACCTTTCCAGCTTCACAACAAAAGAAATAATAAGGTCACTGGCCAATTTATCAGACTGCTAATCAGCTTGATAACTTCAAAGGCTTTTACAGAGAAACTCTGAAGCCATGTCACGTGAATTTAGACTATCACAACAGAATGCTGGAGCCGGCTACCTGCAGGACTCAGCTGTGGCTGGAAAGGGGAACCCTGTTTGCTGACTCCAACAGATGCGACCTCTGATATTTTGGCCGCACTGCAATAAACAAGGTCAACTTGTCCTGTGGGAAATGATGGGAAGATCCTCAGGCGAAGAGATATAAGTGTCTATTCATTCATTTAAGAGTTAGTGCTTTGTTGAACATGGGGCTTTCTTAGACTGGAAGCTGTATGTGATGCAAACAACGTGGCTGCACAGAGAAAGATGATGTATTTATTCTGCACTTTCACTAGATTATCAACAAAGCAGGTTAAAACAGGAAACACATTTTAACAGCAAAACCTCACTTTTAAATGATCTTTATGTATTATATATGGCACAAAATGAAATGGTTAAGCGCCCGCCACAAAATTTTGTAAGTTCAAAGTTTAAATTTCCGTTGAGATCTGTCCATAAATCTTTGAGTAATTCTGCAGGCCAAAAAAAAACAAAAAAACCCACACACACAAAGGAAAAACAGCCTAGTTACATCACTTGGTTCAGTTCTACTGCCCCCTCATCACTCCCTTTTACAGCACACAAACAAAGTAGCACAACATTAGCATGCTTCATTTTTTTAACCTTTAGACCTCATCATGTCTAACAATGCAGTCTCTCTTTACCGGCCTCATGCTCATAGGCGTGTTTGTGACTGGATAGATATCCATTTATTGATAAAGATGTGTAAATGTGTTTATAGGAAATGAAGGACACGCTTTCTAGCAGTAAACTCTGTTGCGATCAGTCCAGTTGATGAATGGTGGTGATGACACACATAAGACTGATGATTATTAGTTACAGCGCAAGACTAAAGCATGATGGAAGGAAAACTGATTAAATATCACATTTTAAAATGTTATTAGCTTGGAATATAGAGCAATGTGAATGCACATGCCTCCGTAAATAATAACCATCAAGTTTTCTACAAAGCCATACCGAAATAGAAGGTTTAATCTTTTAACAGTGGCAAAAGGTTTACATGTCTCAGTGGTCGAATAGTGAGTTTCGGAGGATATCGGGGATGGCTCTGGGTGTAAATAAGATAAGATAAGATAAGATAGAACTTTATTAATCCCTCTGGTGGGTTCCTCTGGGAAATTCGATTTCCAAAAAAAGCACAGCAACGACCGAAGTACAGTTTAATCAAACAAAACAGGAAACAAAATAATATTTTTATCATTAAAATAAGAAATACAGACAATAATAAAGGTTAGCTAGGGTTGAAGATTACATGTATTTTCCTGCTGAGCGAATGTACTTCACACTGAACTGCTTGTATGCGTTTATAATGCTGACATCGAGGGGCAGAGAGGTGATGGCTGTGACAGCCTCAGAATAAATTTACATGTAGTTAAAAGTAAATGCCTTTCTGCTGCGTTTTCTCTTGGCTCCGGGCAGGCTGGGAGTGGCACTGGATATGTGGAGCAGTGGACCGGAAGGAGGGCGGGGGCTGCCGGGTACTACTGGGTTTCTGACTTGGCTCTGTGGCTCCCTTCCCTTCTCTTCCCCACGTTGTGTGGCCTGTGAGGTGCATTCCCTGGGGCCTCCCTGCAGACACGTTGCCTTGTCCCTGTGCCTGGCTCTTTAGGGTGTGGTGGGTGCCTCTCATTTCAAGGACTGGTAGGGGTGCAGGAGCTGTCAGCCTGGAGTGGACGCCTTGTGGGATTGGTCGTCATGCACTGTTGGAGCTGTGCGGCAGCCCCTGGGTTGGGGTAGCTGCTGTCCCACTTGGCCTTCGGATCGCTTTCTGCCTTTTGGCTTCTGCAGTATTGGTTGACTTATACCGTGTGTTCAGACTTTCCTGCATGGTTCTCTCACAGAACGCTGGTGTTCTCAGCTTGTTGTCTTTGCTATTGGTTGTGGGGTTTCTGGACTTTTAAGTTCTTGTCACCTCATCAACACTTTTTGTTATATGTTTGAACTGTGAAGATTGGGGTGTTTTTGATGGGGATAGAGTTGTTCTCATAGCACAATTACCACACTGCTGGCTGCCTTCTATGCTTGTGTACGCACCTTAGTTCAATATTGGTTTCTGGCTCTCATCATGGTGCACTTTGCTGGCTTTTCAGGGGTTTTGGTATTATGGAGATTACAGGTATAGCTTTACAAATGCACACACACACACACACACACACACACACACACACACACACACACACACACACACACAAAAGGAAAAGGGGGATGGGAGGTGGGAGGTGGGCCCTAACGATGTATCAGAATAATATTAATTGACGGATTGCTATTTTTGCTGACAAGTCAGTGTCTTACAGGCAAACTACAGGAAATGATGGCAATCTGCTAACAACCAAAGCAATCTCAAGGTGGTTTTCAGTGCTGCAGCATATATTTTTTGTTACTAATATCAACTAGAGACTATCAGCAACCTCCAGCAACCACTTCCCCACTGCTCCAAAATTACACAATTTTCCCCTACAGACTGATTTCAGGGTTCTGTGTCCAGTCTCTGACTGAGGGCTAAAATGGACATGAAGCCACAGCTTAGGTTTCCAAAGTTGCAACTGAAGAAATCTAGAACAACCTTTCAGACAGACAAGATCAAGGCAGAAATATCTGCGCATAACGCACAGCACCACGTTGGGCAATAAAGTGGCATATCATCACAAACATGCCGTACAAACTGTCATTAATTCACACTGTTTTGTCGAGCCCAAAGGATATCTGCACTTACCTCCTACTGATTAGAAGCATGGCACACAAGCATATTCTTGCTCTACTTCAAAATAAAAGCCATTTTTGACTGCACCTTTAATGGATCAACATCTTTTTCCATAAAAACTCACAAGGAAACAAAATCATTCGCCTCTGTTTGTAATAAATCTTTCCCGACACACTTTTTGTGTCACAGAGGTGAGTTATCGGAGATGTGGCTGCGCCTCCACCGCCAGCTGCCTCATCAACGGAGTGGCTGCGATAACGATCTGTGAGGCAGACAGCGAGGCTCAGGGACGGATTAGACCACAGCACTGCGTACAGTAATAACAGCTGCTGCCGTGGAAATGCCCCGCAGTCACCGAACGGGAACAAAACTGCTACTCAGCTCCACAGGCCAGAAGGGAAAAGACTGATAGAGCGCATTGCCTTTCCATTTTTTCCTTACTTATCCAATTTTCTCCCATCTTTTGATTGCTTTTCTCATTATGGCCGAGCAGAGTAATTGGAATCCCCCCCGCTCCAGCTGTGCAACGGTTTGATGTGTTGAAGAGCTACATGTTGAATAAGCAAGTTGGCAAACAGGCAACATAATGAGGCTGTAAACTATTTAATTGTTGAAAAAGACGCACAAAATCTGGATTTTGTAAGGAGCTATATGCAGCGGACTGATATCTACGCTCAAGGAACAACAGAAGTTTTCGCTCTCATGGTTTAACATTTGAAGGTGAACCTGTGTGTGTGTGTGTGTGTGTGTGTGTGTGTGTGTGTGTGTGTGTGTGTAATATTTGTCTGTCATTTACTCACCAGCAGCTCCTGGCCTCCTCCTGCTCTTTCCACACTCAAGTGTTCATCTGAGCCCTTTAGCTTCCTCACCTGAAACAAAAAGCATAAACTAAGTAAAAAAGAAGAAAACCTATTTGAAAAAAGCAGCTGCTTCCAAAGAGCGAAGAACAGTAGAAAAAAAATGTATAAAAATACAGATTTCATCTTAAAGTCATCTTTAAAGTTCTGCAGATTTAGTATGCAAACATAGTGAATACATACACAAGTATTTCTTTTCTATTCATGAAGCTAAAGTGAAAAAGATGCCAGGAAAATCACTACACTCAAAAATCTTTGCATTACAAGTAAAATATTATGGTGATTAAAATCTAAATCTAAAAGTTTGTTTCTCTTTTTATCCTGTAGGCTTTATCTATGTTCAAGAATATAAATTAGCCCAGAAGTCCACTTAGCAACCCCTTGGCAATGTGTATCACTGGTGGGTGTTCTTTCCTGTGGGTTGATATCATTCGCAAAGATAGTACCTCAGAATACTTTGGTATCTAGCAGATTACTGCATTTGACCTTAGCTTTCATGGAAGAACCCAAATTGTTTGGAAAACAAAGAGTAAAACTTGGAAAAAGTCCAAAACAAACCAGAAATCAGAAACCTCACCCTCAGAGCAAAAGTTGTTACCTTACTGCTGCAATTTTACGAGGCACAAAAGAGATAACTCAAAAGATAAACGCTGTGAACTCTACATATTCCAGCGTTGCAGTACCAGATAGTGATAGCCTCAAACAAGCTTCTCCAAACTAACAGTTTGTACAGATGTTCATATAATGAAGTGGCTAATAGCATCAGCTCTAAACTTTACTCAAAAAACAAACGATGAAGTACATTCTGAGTAACTGCAATCTGACGCAAAAACCTAACTTTAATACCAAAAGTTTGCAGAAATAACACAGTTTGGATTTTTTCTCTTGTTCATGCACTGCTGATTTTCACACTGTCACCACCGGCTGTGGAGCTCCACAAGGAGCTCTATAACAAGCCTCATTCTCCACTGGATCAGACGAATGGGGATACACCCCACAGAGATACAGGCAGCACACACACACCGACACACATAGAACTAATCCCTTGACGACCACACTAAACCCCCAAAGAAGCAATGGCCCAAACATTATTCATGAAATCCATATTTGGAAAAAAAAATACAGTTTTTGATGAAGGTAGTTATAATGCACCCAACTCAGTAATCCATCTGGAGTGAGCATACAGAGATAAGAAGAGGACAGTGACGCCAGGGACTCTTAGCTGCACATGCATCCTTTATTAAAGCAGCAGGAGCGCTCTACTACACGATATTTCCCTAAATCACTAAATCAAAGGAAGGACTAAAAATATTGTCAGATTAATCAGCAGGCAAAGCTTCACAAGACAGATGAGATGAGTTGGAAAAGGGTGTCAGCCTCACTTTTGTTGCCGTTTTCATTTTATTTCTTGCGTACATTAACACATTTCTGTATGTCTCGTTCACTTTCTTTTTCATATTATTTGTTTCCTTTTAGAATGAGTCGCTCACAAAGTCAGAGGCACATAGTTCATCTGGAAACGTAACAGTACTTGTTGTCGGCAGAGATGTGGCATTTATCTGGATGCCATTTAATAAAGTCTTCCGACTGCAGATATGCTCACTGTGATGAGCATTCATAGGGCGAGTGCAGAGAAGAATCGGAAAATGTAACAAACCTCTGTAAATCACCCGAAAGAAGATGCCACGCGCAGTGTGTCGAGGTTAAAACTATTCAGCACTATTACTTTCATGTCATCCATTTCAGTTTGTTTCATCACCATCCAAGATCATTGTCAAATAAGTACAAGAGCCAATGTACTACACTCACTTTGAAATTCAGGATGCAGCCGGAGTTCATTGTTGTTTATCCTGCTATAACACAAACGCTTTGGGAAGCTATAACCCAATAACTCTTTGAAGTCACTTGTTTTTTGTTTTTAAAGAAGCGGAAAAAATGATATTTTAGTGCACTATGACTACGAATCAATGACAGGAAGAAATAATAAAACAGTAGTAGCTCATCTGGCTCACAATCCATAGCAAGTCACAGGTTATTGTAGCGCGAAGTGCTGAAAGAAAGATTTTGTTGTCAATTAAAATCAACTGAGAAGTTAAGGAAGCTCGCAAACAGCCAAATCTGGGACAAATTAATCCAGTTCACGACTAAATAAGATCAGGAGTATTATGATCTAGACTGTATCTTGTGATGGGTCGTTAATTAAGAGACCAATTGAAACTTAAAATGACAGGAAGAAATCTGTCACTTTTCCATTTACTCAAAGCCAGCCGCTTAAAAGCAGAATAAAAAGAAAGAGGCAGGAATTCCTTTAGGTACGCTGCACAGAGTTTTCCACCTGAGGAAAATCCTACTCCTGTCAAAAACAAATAAACAAAAACAACAAAAAAAACTTTGTACTGAACCCAGTATGAGTTTGCAACAGTATTCTATTTCAGGCCTTTATAAACAGACACACAACAGAACATTAATCTCGAGGGAAATGTCAAGGTTCTCTGCTGACTTATCTTCCTCAGCAACAGACACCAAGAGCTTAGACCAGGGTCATGTTTATAACATGTTTCTGTGTCTGTGTGTGTGTGTGTGTGTTTTACCTTGGCACTGCTGTCAGAGTGACGTCTGGCACATGCTTGGAGCTGGCTGATCCAAAACTGCTGCTCCTTGGCATCAGAGGCTACAGAAAAACACACACAGAACAAAAACTAATTAAAAAAATTA